GGACTTAAAAGTGTTTGTAGAAAGTGATTTATTTTGAGAGAGAGAGAGAGAGAGAGAGAGAGAGAGAGAGAGAGAGAGAGAGAGAGAAACAGGAGAAGGAGAGAGAAATAAACAGTTAACTCTCACACTGAGTGAGAGAATGCAGAAAGATGGAAGCCAGGAGAGGAAAGCAGCTTCCACACTGAGTGTAAGAGAATAGAGAGAGATTGAGTTTAGGAGGGGAAGACAGGCTTCCATGAGAGAGTGTTGAAGGGGACTCCAGAGGGAAAATCCAGGATAGAGAAAAACAGCTTGCACAAGAGTGTTTGTGGAAGGGGATCCAAACATGGAGTCTCAAGGGGTGTGGAAGAAAAGGACTTTTAACCTGAGAGGAACCCCCACCTTCTCTGAGACTCTGGGCCAATGAAAGGAGTTCCTTAGAACTTCCGCTGCAGTGATTGACTCTTAGTTTTTTCCCACACCTGTGAAATTTAAACATAAACCGTTAAATCTCCCAGATGGAGAGAAATGGGAGGGGAGCATTGTGCTAGGAAGTTCTTGCCCTTAAAACTACGCTCCCTTGTGGACCAGAAAGAGAACAACTTCCCTTAGTAGGATCTACTATCATTCCATTTTTTTCCATGAGGAAACTGGCACAGACAGGTGAAGAACTTTCCCAAGCTTTACACAGCTAGTAAATGGCAGACCTGTGATTTTTTTCCTTTTGTTGGTTTCTTACATTCTCCCAATAATGTTTGTGCACAATGATTGGCCCTTTCAAATAATCATATTGAGATTTTTAATAACATCTCTTTCATTACAAATTGATTCAGGAAAATTTGAATATTTATATACTTCACTCTCAGTAAGCATCTTTGGAAATCATTGCCAATTCATCAAGACACTGTCCTAGCCACAGTTACATAATTCACAATAACTATCAATTAGGTTAAGGCTGTATAAAGAAGCTGAAAAAACCAACAGAATTCTGAACAAGTAATGTATGTATTTCAGTTGTATTAGAGCAACAATTTAAACAGCAAAATATTGTGCATATCCATAGCTCTTTAATTATAGCATAAAGGACTTTTTAACATCTAAGATGATTACACTGAGAGTAGGTAAACACATGACTTGATCCAATGGAGGTTTATCTGTTGGCTCACTTCTTCTCTGCCTCTCCTTTCTTAGAATTCTTTTTCAGTTTGTAGTCTACTAGGGACACTGTGATTGCATCTTCATTTAGCATGGAGTAGTGCAGCTTCATGGTAGAAAGGCATAGTTCCTTGTCAATATCTCTGCTTTTGATTCTCATGGTTTCTTCAATCACTTTTTCTTAATCTATTCAATGGCTAATAAACTTGAATCAATTTCAGAACTGCAGGCTAATATTTAAAACCTGGCAGCCATAAGTTTTTCCTTTTTATCCACTTGAAACTTAATTTCATTAAATTACTACCAGCTAGAGCCTTCATCAATCTAGCTCATTTTAGGATATTTTATCAAGGAGACTTTCACGGTTAGCATTCTCTAAATGTTGATCAACAACCTTCTTGTGATAGAGCGTGGCCTGGTACAACAACTCCTGGGTGGGGATATACAGGCTCATGAGCAGCAGGTTCAAAGCTAATGGCCACCAATGATCTCGTCTAGCTGCCATCTTATCAAGGCCAGAGCTGGCATTCAGCCCAGATATTCTAGCTCCATAGTTCATGTTTTTAACTCATGGACTGTAGTGTCTGTGTTTTACCTAGCATTATGGTAAGGCTATACATTGTAAAAATACAGCTAATAAAGAAGACCAAGACTGTGTTATAAGGTTGAGGAGAAAAGGACACACATGACAATGACATTGCAATGTTTGGGGAAAGAAATGAGAATCAGTCATATTTTGAATGGAAACATGTTGAGGGAGAAGAAATTTGCAGAGTAATAATCAGACATGTTACCAACTGAGTTCCTAAGTCTTTGCTTCTGAGACTAGCATGGGTTGATGGGCACTGCTGTCCTGGCAGTTCTTTTTTTCTCCATGTCACTGGCCTTTCTGGTTCACTTGGACCATAACAGCACTACTAGGCTGCTCTACTACAGTACAATGTCTTTCACTGACATAGAGGAAATACCTCCTGATATTGCAGACACCTGCAGTGAGATGGAGAATGGGAAAAGGGGTCTTCATTGTGGTGGTATTTCTTGTCTAAGCAGGGATGTGTCACTCAGTGGCAAGCTCTGCCTATCAGATAATGAATGAGGTAGTGGGCCATCCATCCAGGGTCTTGGAGCAATATCAGGATACCTCTGAGGCTTAGTTTATAAGGTTAATACTTTCTTCTGTTTGTTATAATGCAAGGAAGAATGAACTTTCAGAATCTTGTTTTTGCGGTCTAGTGGTGAACTCTTATCTTTGGGACAGCAGCCCAAATATTCATAATTATTGAAGAAGTAAGTCAAAAGGTCGTTTCATATATGCATCTGCCTAAAGGTCAGATGGAACTATGGAAATCCACGACAAACTTGCAGAAAGTTTCAATCTCCATCTGCATGCAGCCTGACAACTGTATTTTCATAGAATTAGTGACAATATTTAAGGCATTTTTAAGGTAGTGTATCTCATTCAAATATTTCTCTTTATAGATGAGGAAACTGAAGGCCAGAGAGATGAAATGATTTTCCATGTTAATACAGAGACAGCTGGTACTGTAGCATATGTTATTTTACCTAGGATTCAATGCCCTTTCCTACACATCTTCCTGGCTTGGATAAAATCTGAAAATGGGAAGTATAATTATAAGTGGGACAATAGTGGAGAGAAGAAACTTTAGAAACTCTGACTAGAGCAGAAAGGTAAACAAACCAGTCTGGCTCAGCGCTTTGTTTGAAACTGAGGCTTACTGGATGTTAAATTGCAGGAGCCTCTATACTATTGACTGATTTTTTTTGGGTGGGGGGGAGTAATCTCACCCACATGAAAGTAAGGAATTCTTCCACAAGCACTTAAGTACTACTATTAAGGGAACTCAAAGAGGTCATTTACAAAATAGCTCTTTTACTCTTCCCACCAAGAATTCATTGCTTTAATTGAGGGGAGTGGTTTTTTGAGAATTGGCTGGCCCAGCATTAAGCTACATTCTAAGCTGGAATAATTTGCTTTCCATCTTACTCCTTTCCCTTTGCCATTATCAGGGATTTTACTTTATTCATTAAATTGAAAATTGTTCTCTAAAGGTAGCATGAGTTTTTGATTTAAAAAGTTCAAAAAATACTCCCCAAAATGTAGTGAGAAGAAAATCATTTGAATTCTTGCCTCCCAGGCTTCTAGTTCTCTTTTCTAAAGACAGATTCTCAAACATGCTTCTTCTGTTTTCATATGCTATGTCTAATTAAGTATATGTTACTATTTAGCTGCCTCTTTTTATACACAACACCATATTATTCTCACTGTGTTGTACCCTTTCTTTGTCACATAATATTTTTTAAAGATGACTACCTAGCTATATAGAGATTTACTTCATTCCATTTACATTTTAACATATTGATAAAATATATTCTGTTTTATCTGTCTTTCTAGTGCCTGACATGTGGCCAGATCCTGGAAAACGAGTTCAGCAAAGAAGACCACGTGAATCATCCCAGAAAGGCCCATTGCTTATAGGCTCAGGAATCAGGGAGCCCTTCCTATTATGTGACCCTCCTGGGTGAGTGTTTTATAGTGAAATCATACGTCAAATTGTGATTCTCAGATGACCTTCCCAGTCTGGCTTAGAGGAGAGAGTTGTAGGGGGAGGTTCTGGGAAAGCCGACTTGCCTTGAGTTTGTCGTCTTGGCTGCTCGGTGGAGTTCTGCTCTCCTACTCTGAGATTTCTCCAAGGAGACATTGGGTTTTCCTGGCAGGCAGAGCTTCAGGCTACTCAGCAGAATGTCTATGGTGCTGTAGCTTCAAGAGGAGCCAGGAGGCTGAGCTTCCAAGCCAAAGGAAACACTGCTTCAGACTGAAGACCATGGTTTGGCAGAGACCACGAGGCTTGCTGAATTTAGGAGAGGACTCTCTCATACCCCTTACTTACTCAAACCACTCTTTCCCACTAAAAGAAGAGAATGGAGGTGACATAAGAAATCTGCTTTATTCACCAGCACATAGCAGTTGCTTGGGTGAAATGAATTCCAGTCCCATTTTGGTACAATAGGAAAGGCAAATGCCTCCCTCTCTATCTGGGAAGACAGGAAAAGGAAGCCAGAGTCAAAATCAGACATCTCAAGTCTCAGCAGCAGTCTTGGTCTTAGACAAATAATCTCAAGGTGACCCAAATCCTCTGTTCATTGTGAAAACAGTGCCAGAGTAAAACAGAATTAAATTGTTTCTCTTTCATGGCAGTTGACATGTAAAAACCATTCTACTCCGACCTTGTGGTCAGAATATCCTGACACCTCATAAATTATCTTAAGGGGTCAGGGCTCAGGGAGGTTTGGGAAGGCTGCGAGTCCACACTACAGTCAGCGTTCTGTGCTGCAGGGCAGCAAGGGCCACACCTCCCTCCTGGTCTTTCCGATAGGCAGGCATTAATGTGTAGGATGTGGAAGAATGTAGTGTCCTCAGAGCAAGTTTTCATGATTTGGGAATAGCACTTTTCCCTCCTTTTATGTTTGCAGAATTTGTATGGCCACAGCGATTATCCTCATGAAGATTTTTAAGGAAGTGAGAAAAGCACAACGATAGCTTCTATGTCGGACAGAAATTCTAGTGTGGTTTTGTCTTAGTAGGAAAAAAAAGACAGGGAAGGGATGGAGATGAGAGAGACATATACATACACAAGATGAAGAACTAGAGAGAAAAAATGAACCAAGGAGAAGAGAATGCAAGGTGTGAAGGGGAAGCATGAGTGACAGGAAGAAAAATTTTCTTGATTCAGATATACCCCCCTACACACACATACACTATCTCTCTCTTTCTCACACACACACATACACACACATGCACACAGTCTCTCTCACACACACCCACACACACACTCTGTCTCTCTCACACACATACAATCACACACACACATACACACACACACACACTCCTCCTCACTAGAGCAGAACTCTTAGACTTCTCTGCCTCCTGTTGAGTTTCTCTTAGTCTCCACATTCATCTGTGCCTTACACACAGTAGGTGCTCCATTAATGTTTGCCTAGTGGTAAGATCCACAGACTGGTCCCCAGAGAGGGAAACAGATTTATTTTGGAAAATTCCAAGTATGTAAAGCAAAGTCATTTGGAGCAAACGGTATTCCTGTAGCCTGAACGACCATAAGGTTGAAAGAATCTGGGTATTTGTGGGTGTGTTTGGACGTATTGTGTGTGGCAGTGTGAGTGGGTGGTCTGGATGGGTGGGTAATAAGTGACAGGAGGGCCCTTGAACATATAAAGGGCTCCATAACTACTGTGAATATAAAACTGGGAATAGCATGCCCAGACCTCCAGTCATGCAGTGACCAAACCTGACCTTGGCAGAGATGAAGAAACTGTGGAGATGGATTCAAAAATTATTAGTCAGTGTTTTTGGTCCCTACGGGCTTTTTTTTTTTTTTTTTTTTTTTTTTTTTTTTAAGAACAGCTGGGTGGGTTTCTGGCAAGGCAAATGACTGCCCCAGCCTGTAGAATTCCACAGCTTTTCCATGCTTTTTCTAGACTCTTTTGTTTCAATGTTTTTAAATTTCTGGTTCATTTTTTTCCTCATGGGATATGTCTTCTTCCCACCCCCTCCTTGGACAAAGGATATGATTTCTCGCTGTCTCTGCTCTTGATTTCTTCTTTATGGAAATTGTGTCTTGAGAACATAATTATGATACGAAATACATTAGAAGTGTATTTTTTTTTCCTAATTGTGTCATCCCATTACTGATACCAGCATCTCTTCAGCATCACTGACTACTAAAGATGTGGAAGTTGGTAAAACAAGCCACATCACAGATGGATGATCCTCCTCCCAATTCCTCTGGCCTGGAGAAACAGAAAAGAAGACCCAAGGCCGAAGACAGTTAAAAACCTGTTCACATCTGGCTTCTAAGTAGGTTGTAGTATATTGCTTTTCTGCAGCTGCTCCAGTACACAAACACACACTCATTGGAACGTTCACTGCAATGGTGAAGGGAGACAGGGCACAAGACGGTACTGATGGGATGCAGAAGGAAAGCCTAAATTAACCATACCACAACTGCAGATACCTGACAAGTCTGAGTTGGTTCATATATGTCTTCATACATATATCAACTAATATACCATAGCAAGCTCTATGATGTGTAATTTAGGTTATTTCTATTATTAGAGAAGTATCAGTTCACAAGCGTTGGTAACACATCTTTAAACTTTGTGCTTATTTTGGGTATTAGGTGGTAAGTCTTAGAAATAAAGTTTCTGAGATGCTGGACATTACATGCTACAGGTTTAGACATTAAGGAGTCTCATAAAACTAAAATTATCTCTAAAAGTACACTGGTAACAACCTTCATACTATCTCCCTATTTCCTTTACACATCCTTTGAGGTTTACCTAACCATTCCCCAACTTATCAGCCTAATTCTTGATTCCATACAACCACCTCCTTCTTGTAATCACGGTGTACATCTGTATGTATTTATGTTGATTTTGTATATTTTAGTTCTCTCCCATTAGACAATAATCTCTTTGAGGATAGGAATCAGTAATTTTTTTTTTTTTGAGCCAGGGTCTCACTCTGTTACTCTGGGCTGGAGTGTAGCATCTCAGCTCGCTGCAGCCTTGCCCTCAGGGGCTCAAGTTGGAATCACTCATCTTTATTCTGTATCCCCAAGTGCCTGGGATTATTTTGTAAATCCTATGCATAGTCAATAAATGAAGAACATATTCTACTCTCGGAGGAGCAATTTAATGCAAGGTTGCGTTGTTTTACTAACTTCCATCTCATTTCTAGTCATGCTCAAGAAATGCTGATTATCAGCGATGGGATTACACAATTAAGAAAAAAGTACACTTTTAAAATTATATAATACTTTTCCAAGTCAAACGTAAATTACCTATGAATTTTCCATAGCTTTGTAGGTAGCAAATGGCCTTTAAATTGTAGGTGTACATTTCTGATCATAAGCAATTATCCATCTTTTAATGAAATACAAAAAATCTAGTTACTAAATATTTTAAAGTCAGTTTCTCTTGAGGTGTTCTCTTTAATTCTTCTTGGAACATTCCATTGGACTCTTCACTATCATCATCCCATGGATTTTAAACCTGGTTCCATAGTCCAAAGAATCACACATGGACAATCAACTGAATACAACTGAACTATTTCTGAACAAGGTTCTATGTCCTCTGACACCATTAACCAAAACAACTGACTCTAAGTTCCAGTCCTTAGAAAATGCAAAATTGCTGCTCTAGCTCATTAATTCAGTCCTCTCAGAATCTGTGGGTCCTAGACACATTGCAAAATGTATTCTACAGCTTTCCTCCTCTTCTCTCTGGAGACCCAGCATGTATCCCTTGGAATATCACCAAACTGCTTCTGCATGCTGTTCTACATTTCTGCATTAATACCACCCATGCTGAGCTTAGTTCTCTTAAGAGACTCCCTGTATTCAGCTGTCTTTATGGGAAGAACTACTGAATGAATTTAGAATGAGTTGCCAATTAATTGATAATGATATATTTCAGAAATATGTGCTCCATCTTTTACCTCTTGGAATATAAGATCTTCATCCCAGTGTTTCAGAGTCATTCATCTATCCATTTTTCTGGGAGAAAAGTATGATTTGTTTTATAAGGAATTAAACCAGAAAGATAGGAATTAGCTTCTGACATACAAGGTAGATTTTGAACAAAACAATAGGCTTGAAAGGCAGCCAGACATTGTTGAGAAAGCTTGTTCCAAATAACTTATTTGCTCCTTTGGCATATGAACAACCTAGCTTGAAGTGCTCATTCTCTGAGAACACCTCTCTGGCATAGAGAAGATGGCTCTTCTGCTACGATCCCTAGGCTAGCACCATGGCAGCAGAGGGGTAGTAAAAGAAAAGTCCACTCTTCTTTTGGATCTAGGGACTGTGAGATAAAGGGGGTGGGAGAGTAAAGCAGTGAAGCAATTGAACATCTCCCTCCCCATTTAGTATTAGGTAAATAGTAAGCTCCAAGAAGCAGTTAGGACTTGGGAGGTGGCCACCTTACAGGCGGCCTTAAACGAAGCTGGGTCACAGTCAAACCAACCAGAGAATGCAATGAGCTCAGGCAGAAGAAACTCTGAGGTCATCCTTTCCTGAGGCATGCTTGGTTCCCTTGTGCACAGACAGATTTTAGAAGAGTTAGGAAAACTAGCAAAGTGGGTGTCACTGTATTAGGGAGGGTGAAACAGTTTTGCAGCATGAGTTGCATGGGAGACCACCCCCCTCCAAACTAGGGCCTAATGATAGTCACAGCCAGACCTCATAAGGGTCTCTAACACCAATAGGAGCTGAGGTGAGGCAGAGTCAGCCAAGGGTCACTACTGAGCCCTGCCAAGCCCAAGCTAAGACCTACTAGATGGAAAGTTACACTGACCACAGACCTCAGCTGTTGGATGTCAGTGAGGCAAGCAGCACCTATGTTTACAAGGAGGTACCCCAGAGACAGAAGGAGGGGATCCTACTGCTCCTGAGAGCCCTGACTCTACCTTTGTGGACTTTGAGGTCCCACCAGTCATACTCCTCCTCCTCCTCATTCATTCATGTAGCCCTGCCTTCAAGCCACAGCTGGAAGGCTTTCAAAGAGATTAGTTTTTTTTTTTTTTTTTTTTTTTTTTTTTTTAACAAAAGAGACATTAAATACTTCTTAAAATAGACTGTTTACATTATGGATCAAACTGAATTCCTAAGTTTAACTACATTTTTGGTAAATTTTTCTTACCTACCTTTTGAGAAACTAGATTGTTGACTGATAAAATACTAAACCTTATATTTTTTGCTCTTGTCATTTGCGCCTCTCATTTAGTGACTCACACACATAATGGCTAGCAGTAGCTGAATAGCTGGCCTTTCCTAGGATATGGGTATTTTAATAGGTCATTCTTATTGGTACAACTTTGTATATTGGAGGACTTAATTTTAAGGTTTAGAAAAGTTGTTGGCAAACTATAGCTCACAGGCCAAATACAGCCTACTGTCTGTTTTTCTAAATAGAGTTTTATTGGAACACAGTCATGGTCATTTGTTTACATATTGTCTGTGGCTGCTTCAGGGTTATCGTGACAGTGTTGAGTAGTTGCAATAGAGACCATTTGGCTTGCAAAGCTAAAAGTGCTTATTATCTGGCTTTTTATAGGATGTGTGTCAACCCCTGGTATAGAATAATATATGGTTTTATTAAGTTTCTTGTCCAGTGCCCTTTCTGGACAGATGAGGGCACAGGCCTGAGAAGTTAAGGTACACATCCAAGATCACACGGAATGTAAGAGGAGAGATAAGGATGACAAACAGTGGAATCTGAAACATGGTGAAAGGCAAGTGGGGAAATGTACAGAGTTGAGACTGTCATTTGAACAGTCTCATCTTAAATAATGCCCCCGAGACTGCATGATTATTGTGAAAAAGCTTACTAACAAACCCAAGAGGAAAATAAAAACAATAAATAAAAATCCCCTTCAACCTATGTAATCACCTGGATTTTATGACAGTGAAAGACTCAGTTCAATTAGTGGCTCTGTGCCCCCAGTACTCATAAAACCTGCGTTTTGGGACACTCATATGTTCTTGTTATATATTAGATAAATGAGTCCCCAAAGAGAGTCTAATGTGTCAAGTTACATAGTTTAGAGATTTGGAAAAGAACCTAAAAAACTGATTGCTGGACTCCAAAATGAGACTCCAACAACTAGGGATGGGGGCTGTCTGTAACCCTGATCTGTTCTCAAAGGCTGTCAGAGAAACAAGGGCTACATGATTTAGTGCCACCTCCCAGGCTCTTGGAGAAACACTGAGGAACAGAACATAGACCAGTTGGCACATTGTTCCCTCTGTCTATCATTTCATTGAGTCTTCTCTACCTGCTTTCATTTTACTTCCTACCCTCATGTTCACTTTTTACCTCCTGTAGTTACTGGCCCTGCCACTCTGTTGAAATAGGGAGAAGGGTTTTTCAGCCCTCACCTCATTTGACCCCTCTGAGATATCTGACATTTTTGCCTATGCCCTTTTGAATAATGTCTTTCCTCCCTTGGCATCTCTAATGCCCTGTTCACATGATTCTCCTTACTTGTTGCCTCTCTCCAGGCTCATCTTTCATCTGTCCTCTATTCTAAGAGGTGGGCTATTCCTCAGGGTTACGATATCTATCTTCTTTCCATCTCCTATATATTCACCTAGGAAATTTACTTATGCCCAGAGCTTTAACTACTAGCTAACTGGGGTTGTCTCCCAAGTCTGCGTCCAGTCTATATGTCTCTTCTGAATGATAACATTTATTTCCATTTGTCCAAGAACACCTGTAGTCAATGTGCCACAAGTATCTCAAACTCAGAAAGTCCAAAGCTGAAACTATCATCTTTTTCCTAAACCTGATACCTTCTCTGGTATTCTAAACTTATTACCCATCTACCCAGCTCTCTCCAGTGGTTCCCTGGCTGTACAAAGTATAAAGTTTCTAAATTCCACAAAGCCTTCCTTGACCTGGCTCATGCTAGCTGCCTTCTATATGTGGCCTCCATTCTGCAGACCCTTTCAGTTCCTTGCTTTTCTCCTTACCATATTTCTGTTCCTTTGTTCTCCTTAGAATCACTTCCCTGTTGTTAGTTCAATAAGCATCTATTCAGCTTCCAAGATTCAGTTCCAGCCCTGCTTTCTCTGTAGTCACCCAACAAGACACCGGGCACTAGAAAAGGAAGACCAGAATCCTTACTTCCTCACCTTTGCATTTTGAAGAGCTCTGGAATTCATCATCCTGACAGAGCAACTATGTGGCAGCAACCTGCTCCTTTTGAGCAAGGCTCTAGCTGACTGCAC